TTCCTGCCAGCAGCCCTAGCCGCCAGTTTCACTAGGGCTGAAATACCACATCTTCGCTTCCCCCCACCCCCAAGGTAGATAAATGCAAACAACATTTATACAGCTCCCAGAGATGGGAAGGGTGAAGGTGCTTGTGAGGACTGCGGTGTCTGCCCTTGCCAGCTCTGCAAATGAGGTTTGTTACCTAAGGTCTATCAGCAGCGCCAAGGAGACCTGTCATCGTTCCCCTCCCCTGAAGGAGCAGGACAGACTTGTCCTCTCAGATGGCACCCATGTGCTTGGGATGTGGTTGCTGGAGGCCATCCTGCTTCTCTCCCCGGAGCCACAGCTTGCTCTTCAGTGTTTGTCAGTCAGTCAGCAAGCAGGACCGGGGTCACCAGGCTTCCCAAAAATCCTTCAGCGTGTCCGTAAAATGACTCAACTCCAGGTTAAACTTGCTGTACCAGCGTGCCTCATTGTGCTTGTAAGGTCTGAGGTTAAAGCCTTTTTCATCCCTCTTCCCGACAGACAGGTCCCTTATTCATTTCGGTGATGTCCCAGTTTGTAGGTAGTTAGCTTGCTGCAGCAAGCATTGTGCTGCTGGCTTTTCTTCTTCCAAGTAAGACTGTTTTTTGAAAAAATACCAGAAGCTTGAATGTGCTAATTTGCTTGCAGATAATTAAGGCCACTGTGCTGTATTTTACCATGAAAAAAGTAGACACTCAAACTTCCAAACTGCCACCAGGCTCTTCTGTCACTGTATAAGGTGTTGTTTCTCAGCTACTGAGTGTGGCCACAGTGAAAGGAGAGCCTGAGCAGAAGAATGGGGGAAGCAGGTGCTTCCCAGAGGTGGCAGTGCCGGTTGTCCCAGGTACTGTGTGACCAAGTCCATCATTCAGGCTTTACAAAACAACCACCCCACCCCAACAAGGGAAGACAAACCAAGTGTGGCTTTGCTCCTGCATGTTTTAATAACTGGGCTTAACCTGGGCTACTTAAACCATAAATGAAGCAGAGCAGCATAGGAAGGTGTCTGCGTAGCTAAGCTGAACCATGACCTTTCCTCCCCCCATAAAGGATGTGCTAAGTGGAGCATGTTTCCATCACAGGGATGGCTCCCTGGGTTGCTTTTGGGGTGAGCATGACATCACACTTACTGCAGCACAGCTCTCATGACAGTGAGAAGGGAAAAAATTGAGGTTTGGAGCTTTTCCGGAGGCTCAGGGATGCGTTGGCTGATGTTGGGGATTCCTTAGAGAAATCACGGGATGTAATTTGATTACAGCAAAGAACTGCAAGGCTGACTTTCTCCTGGTGTCTTGTTTTTCACTGTTAGGAGTATATTTGAATTTAGTGTGATATTTAAATAAGGTCTAGGACTATGAGACCACTTTTGCACGCACCTGAACAGTCTTGCGTGTACAACGTGTCTTGGCGTGGCTTCGGTTCTCCAGAGCGTTGGCCAAAGCAGCCACGTACGGTAACGTCTGCCTTTGTCTTTCAGCTGCTTTTGCAGGTATGATGGCTCGTGTCTTCGTCTACGGCACGCTGAAGAAGGGCCAGCCCAACTACAAGCACATGATCAACACGGCCAAAGGGCTAGCGAAATTCCAAGGAAGGGGCCGCACAGCGGAGAAGTACCCACTGGTGATTGCAGGAAAATACAACATTCCTTACATGCTGAACATCCCAGGGACAGGACACCAGGTTGCTGGGGAGATTTACTCAGTTGACGACCAGATGCTGCAGTTCCTGGATGAGTTTGAAGGCTGCCCAGAGATGTACCAGCGCACCCTGATGAGAATCGAGGTGGTGGAGTGGGAAGGGAAGGGCGGCGTGGGGGAGGCACGGGCAGCTGCTGAAGGCGTCGTGGAGTGTTTCGTGTACAGCACGATGACGTACCCGCCTGAGTGGGTCGGCCTCCCCTACCATGACAGTTACGACTCCTCAGGGAAACACGGCCTCTCCTACGTCCTGCGTGAAAGCCGGGAGTAAAAACGGGAGGTAACACAGCCCAGACGAAGATGTAGTACTAAGCACATGTCGCTCAGTAACCTTTCCAGGAAAGCTGTAATACCTTTCTATTAAAACACAGGATCTCTTGTAACCTTCCCAACCCGGGAGCCTTGGCACTAGTGTTGAAGTCTTGCAGGCACAGAGATGGGGGCTCGTCCCCAGCTAGTCAGTGTCCTCCTCACCCCTGCTAACCTGCTGCGAGTAACCAGGTTTGCATAAGGTGTAAAATCACTCTATCTGTGCACATTGGTTTTGGGGTCTAGTTCCTTTTCTCCATGCCCCCCTCTTTGCCTTAGTGCATGACTGAGGTCAGTGAAAGGCAAGGGAACAGACTAGATTTTTTTTTTTTTTTTAAACTGAATTGGCAAATTTTCTTGTGTAGTTCGCCAAGGTGGGTGGAATAATGATGATACTATTGCACTAATAGCTGAAACTGACTTTTAAAAAATCATGTCTGCAAACAAAGTAAAGCACAACTCACATTTAATATTGGCTTGTAATGGTGTTTAGTAGGTTACTGAATGTAAACAGGGAGAGATGACCATATAGATGCTATGCACTTCAAGACAAATATTAAATTGCTGGAGAAATAGAGAAAATTTAAAGACTATTCTTATTCTGTGTTGCAATGTTTTTTCTGAACTGGAAAAGAGTATTTTTAAAACATAGTTTTATAAGGTACTATGAAGAAATGTTGAAAGATAATTACATTTACAATTGTATTTTTAATCTAGCATTCTAAGCACTTTAAGTACCGCTTCAGTTCACTGAGTGACTGTAGGATTTGGGGGGTGGGTGGGTGTTGGGGACCAGGAAATGCAAACCTGATTTCAGCTACCTTCAGCAGATGCAGCTGTTGTGAGCACTTACTATCAAGGTGACTTTTAGCCAAGCACTTTAATGCAGAACTTGCAATCATATGCAAACTGAGCTTCTCATCGGGGAAAAGATTTTATATACATTATTAAAAATATCCAAAGGATATTAAAAATATCCAAAGGACCAAAATCAGTAGGGTGATTACTGCAACATTTAAACTGGAGAAAAACAAAACAAAACAAAAAAAAAGATGTAAAGACGACTATTGTCCCCTTGACCCAAACTAACTGTGCTGGTTTCTGTACAATCTGGGAAAACCATGGTTTTCTGTTGTTACATTACTGTGCCTTGTATTTTCTTTCAACTGCAGTGTTTGGTACATATAGATCGTACAGTATACAAAGCTGCCAAAGGGATGCAAGCAGGGAATGTGTGCCATGCAGTGAGCCAAAGTACAATTCAATGTGCTAATGACACCATTAAGAACAACACTGTATTTTTGCTTTGTTGCCAGTAGCCCTGTGATGGCCGGAGGAGATCTGAGGTAGGGAATCAGCACAGGGATCCAGGATAAAGAATCAGCTTAAACTTTATCAGTAGTAGGCACTGCTACATCTCATTTAGAAAAAGAGACAGAAAGCTTGTGTTGCTGCAGTAAACAAAATAAGTAATTTTAAAGTAGAATACTTGTGTCCCTTCAGAATACCTGTTTTTCGGTTAGAGCAACCTGCAGAAGCTGAACTGTCTTCCTTTTGGAAGGGGCTGGATGGCATTACGGAGCTTTGTAGGAAAGTCTGCAGGGTGCCTGCCTCAGTTTCTCCAGCTCAAAAAGCATTAATTTTCCTCGAGGGCAGGTGCTATCCAAACACTCTCCTTACTCATCTTGATGGGTTTTGTACACTAATTAACAAAGCAGGTCCTTGTACTACATTATTCTGTCTTGACTGTGTGATTTAGTTGTCAGCTTCTCAATAACATGAAAAATGCCTCTTCAATCAGAAGTTTCAAGCAGAATCATGAACCTTTCTGGTTGAACATGAGTCACCAGCCCTGTCACAGACTGTTTTTGTCCTTCACCTTCCAGTAAAGGGCCCAGGCGCCTCTGGCCAGAGGGGTTTTTCTCAGAAGCAGCATGACTGCACATCCTAGGCAAGAAAATGAGAGCAGGCCTCCTCCTCTCTGGGGCAGTGGTCAAGGCACAGCAGGAACGGTGACTTTGAGGTATGTAAAAAAAAAAAGAAAAACAGCTGTAGGAGGCAAGGCCAAAGGCAGGAGTAGCCCAGTGCCTTGTCCCAGCCACAGGCAGCAGTATCTAGTGAGCTGCAGCTGCTGACTTACTGAGCTAGACCAGTTAACAGAAGAAGGAGCCACCGCTAACCACACACTAACATTCTGAACCCAGTGAACTTCTGGTATCTTCACCATCCTGTGGCATTGAGTTCCTTTGTAAGGACAGGAAAAAAAAATACACCCTCTTACCTGTTCTGCCCAAGTCACCAGCCCTCTCACTTCTGTTCAAGTCTCTTAAGTCTTCTTCCTCTCCAGGTCCTCTCCGGTTTCCCACACTGGACGCGCAGCTCTTCCAGCAGGGTATAGTTATTATGAACGGTCCTAGTTCTTCACACAGTCCTTAGTAAGAGCCTCTGCACAACAAAAGATGAGACACTTGGGTCTCCCTTTCCTGTAAGAGTTCAGGAGGATGCTTGCCCTGAGGGACAGCAGGTGCCTCTAGCAATACCTTGCGGTGGCTAAGGGGCTTCAAGGACAGTGCCAGCTCCTTCCATATGGACCATCCAGTAATAAATTGAAAGAAGATAAAGGGGGGGAAATTTGAGTGTGGAGTCTGAATAAAAGAAGAAAATTCCCTTACAGCTGTAAATGAAAATACACGGGGAAAGTCTGCACTAGCAAAATAAAACATCTAGCCTGTAATTTAAACCTAGTCTATAGAAAGGCTCCAAAAATATTCAATAAATCTGATCAGAATTTAAGCCATTGGCAGTACTTGTTCAGCAGTTACACAGAGCATAGGAAAACTGCCTAGTAAACCACTCAGTGGTTAATTTCTCAGTCTTCCCAACTATTCTGTACAATTTGGCTGGGGCCTCAAACCAGTGATATTACCATGGAGAAGATGAATCAGATTTGGGCTTTTGTTTTCTTTTTAATAAAAGAGGCTTTTCCTGTTTTAAAGCAGAAATGGTATTTTATTGATTTTATTTGATCCTGAAAAATCAAAGAATTACAAAGGTTATGTACAAGTATTTCTGGAAGTAAAAATCTGGGATCTGTTGCCAAGGTTTAACATCTGTGTTTGCTGTCTTAACCACTGATACAATAAACATGACTGTATAAAATCTTGCACGTAGAACTGTCCATCTTCTGTGTTGAATTGCCTTAATTTTACTTTATATATGGAAATAACAAAGGCTTAGCTAATTCAGCAGTGTGGAGGCAACCTTTCATTCCAGTTCCACCAGCAGATCTCCTTCTCCAACAGTATCACCAGCTTTGCAGTGCACAGCTTTCACCTAAGTACAGAAACAGAAATAATTCCAAGCCTTCCTCAACAGCACGGTTAAATAAATGGCCTGGTTGACATTTCTTATACAGAGTATCACATCTGCGTGCACACGGTAAATGGCCACTACACAACATTACGACCATGCAGGGGATCACAGGTGCAGGTATGTTGGAAGGGCCTCGGGAGGCTGCCAGCTCAACCTCCAACGCTCAGAGTCCAGATGAATTTTGAGTGTCTCTCAGGGTGGAGACTCCAGAGCCTGTGAGCAGCCTGCTCTAGTGCTTCACCAAATCATGTCCAACTCCATCAAGGTATTTAGGCACCTACCACTTGCTGTTTTCCTTATTACTTACATGCTTGAAGATCTGAATGTCAGATTGAGATGACACTTCTAAAAACTAAAAAGCACTTTTCTTCCCCCTGTTTCAACTGCTGTTCATTTACTACTAAGTTTTAAATTTTTATATGACAGGCTGACTCTTCAACGCTCATGCTTGGACATTTCAGTGAAATATTCCTGTATCTCTTGCATTACAAATTTTAAGCATAACTGAATTTTGGGATGGCAGCCATGAAGTGGGTTTCCCTCAATCCCCCGGCAGCTGAGATAGATTGATTCAAATTTGAATTTGGATCCTTCAACATAACCAAACTTGGCAAAGGGCTACCACTGTCAAATAAATGCAGCTACATCTGTAGACGAATTATACACTCGCGTGCAGATTCCTGAATTTTTAAACACAAATATCTTATACTAGCCCTTCATTTCCTCTATAAAAGGCTGTAACGTGTTTGAATTCCCTTTTGGCACATGGAGCACCAGAAAATAACCGAAGCTGTGTATTCGGGTTTGCTTGCAATATTAATTCAGAGCTCATGCTGACATGCCAAATCTTTGGTAAGAACCTTATTCAGCAGTTAGCTCAGTTTAGTCATCCAAATGTTACCTTGGGTTCCTAAAGGAAACCCGCAGCCTACCCAAAATGCCAGGCTATTGTGGCTACGCTGTTGCCCACAGTCTAAAGCCACATGAGCTGTAAGCTCTGTGGCACAGATACATTCACAGTGTTGCTCAAGAAATGAAGCTGAACACTGTACACAGGCAAAAGACACCATGAAATGTAAAAAAAAAAAAGCTTTATTTCTAAATCGTTAGCTAGAAGCCTACCCGATTCCTGAGTCTCAATCTTTTAAGAGATGAAAGCAGTGTGAAAAATATTCTACTTCTTTCTTTTATTTTTTCTACAAAGCCAAGGTTCAGCAAACATTGTATCTGACTAGTGTTTCAAACTCCCTGGTGAGGTTTGACGTGCAGCGGGGCCAGCTCCCCATCCTGACCCAAGTGCAGCTGTCCCGGCAGAGACAGGAGGCAACGCCAGTTCCTCTCCATCATTCCCTAATTTTTAAACCACCTGCAGCTGGAGTAAACTCAAAGTAGATAAAAACAAGCCACTTTTCTCACAATTACAAACAGGAAGATGGGGGTTTGATGCAGAAAAGGAATTCAGCCAGGAATGAAAATGGGAACGTCTTCCAGCTGAAGACAAACAAACTGAGTTTCATAACACAGTTTCAAAGCATCAAAACATGGATTAACAGCCAGTGCCAAACATCCCATTCCTGTGGAGGCACCGAGTTGTTTTAGCACTCAGAGGCACAGCTTTGCACTGCAGAGCAGGATGAATTCTGTTTAGCAGCTTCATTTCTACAGAGCCCAAAACTTTTTTGCTTTTTCAAATTCTTAAAATTATAAAGAACAAAATAATTCAAATCCCACTTTGAAGGATTCATAAACCAAATGTGGGTTTATGTGGTATCTGTACAGAATGAGTGGGAGATATTACTGGGAAAAGGACAAGCAGAATTTTAAAGAACAGGTCCCCATGGGCTGCAGCACACCTCGTCGGGAAAGGGAAGGTTAAATTAAAAAATAAAAGGGGGTGGGTGGGAGCGGGAATGGCATTTTAATTACAAATACTCACTAGTTAAAATCATTGGATGCAAAGAGCAGCAATAAGGGGTTAAACAAAAGAAGCAAGGATGAAAAAAATGCTAGGAAATATTAATCAAGTGAGAAAATAAATTATATTGAAATTAATGCATGAAAGAAGATAATAAAGTGGCAATGTTAGAGCAACAGGAGAAGGTACGTTCTCTCTCTCTCTGCAATTTTTTTCCTCAAGACCCAGTTTTGCACTAGATACACTGGAAGAGGTAAGCCCTGCATCCCAGCCTCAGTGACAATCATATTGCTGTGCCAAATAAGCCTTTCTTGTAAACACACAAACAGTCCTTGGCATAGAGACCCATCTTGAGATCTCAGCAAATCTGGCCAGTGACTAACCTCGTCCCTGCCCTGGAGGGATGCTGCCTCCTTGCTGCCTCCCTCTGGGCTAAGGGATCGCGTTGGGGTTTGTTTTGCTATTTTTAATAACAAAATGTCAGTGCTTCAGGGAGAGCAGAGGGACCTGTCGCCTGGCAGAAAAGGGCTCGGACATGCTAGGAAATAGAAGAATATATAATCAGGATATTTGGCAAAGACTCTGACCAGTGACTCCTCAAGAGTGACTTGGCTTTCTCTTTGAAAAGGAAGGATCAGGGGCCTGTGTCTAGATGATGGTTTTAGACTGTGAATTATAATCTGGCACAGGGATGCTTTGAGGCTCTGATTTAGGGGCTGAGAGTCCCCAGACCAGATGGGGTTTAAGGCATGCCCTTGTCATATAAGCTTAACCAGTTCCCTGCCCAGAGCACCAGTTTTGGTACATTCTGCGCTGCAGGAGAGTCCCAGCTCAGGAGCTGCAATGCTGATCCCCCTAGAAGCAAGATACCACAATGCACAGCCTTGCCAAGCTTAACACATTTGCAGATCTATGTTTCATATTTAACAGTCACAACAATAAAAAATTGCTTTTCTCCTCTTCCTGCAAAAGCACTTTACGTGCCTTGTTCTGAGTGTTTTTTTAATGTCAAATTGTTTGCCATTAATGAATTAGCTGGCAAATAGATCTCTCTTCTTCAGTTGCTCTCTGGAAAGATGGAATTTGGAGAAGCGGTTTGCAGCACGTTTCAATTCAACTTGGCATAGTAGCATCATAGAAAACAAATCATTTAGGAGAAAAAGAGTTATATGAATTTCTGAAGCCAGTAAAACTATTTCCTGCTGTGCTATCTAAGGCTCGGAACTACTTAACAGCATTCACAGCAGATGCAAATGTTAAAAATTAGAGACACCTCACTTCGAAAGCCTTACAACAATCAGACTTAATTCCTTAACAACCAGAATCCTCTTTTTTTCCTTTTTAAATTCTATCCTATTTGACAAGTTGCATATGGTTTTAAGTGACCCAAGGTAGCTTACCTTGCCTGTTTTAGCAGCAATCATACTGTTCTGCATTTTCATTGCTTCAATTACACAAATCTCTTGACCTTCTGAAACCTGGTAAAATTAAAGCAGAACAAAATGAGGATAGAGGATTTGAAATGCTGTGTGTATGATTCTTCTAGAAAATAAAGGGATTATTTTATTATATGCCAAAAAGACTTCTATGGCACAAGTCAAGCCAGCCAGCTACACAGTCACGACACAAACCACAATCACAAATCGCAGTTGCCTTTGACAAACTTGCAGCAACGTAGGGAAAAAGGAATCACCTACTTAAAACTATCACCCCAGACAAACCTGGAAGGCTCCTCTCCCATCCCATCCATTCAGCTCCAACTTCTGCAGTTCACATTTCACATCCAACACAGCTCACCATTAAATCCAGAGCAAAATTTAATCTCTGCAGTTCTGTCTGGGGAGCTTTTGCTTTGCTTCCCTGGCGCAGATCCCACAGACACTAATCCCGATTCAGAAGCCAAAAGTTTCTTGGCAAGCGTCCGGGGGAGCATGGACTGGAAGCTCCAGCAATACCCAACAGGCTAGTCACACCTCTGCACGTGGCAGGATCCGGATGGCGGCTGATGACCTCAGACTGACAGAAGGGAGCATGCCTGCAAGGAACCACGATCTCTCATCCGCAAGGGAGGCATCGCAGAGGCAAAACCATAATTTTCACCACAGCTGAGAGGTCTTAAAAGGAAACATTCAAGTTTCCTCTTTCTGCTTGTTTGCACTCTGCTAACAGGCATGTGCAAGCTCAAGGTCACCAGTAACCCACTGGGCTGCTCTGCTGGGCTCCTGTGTGCCTCCCAGTCCTCCTCCCTCCAATGCCTTGGACCACACTGCCCAGAGGAAACAGCCACTTGA